CATACAATGGCATTCATGATCCTGCACCTGCGATCTCAGCATAAGCTATTGGATCATCCGGTTCAGATCCCTCCTTACAGCTGCGGGAGGCCAAGTGGCTGCCCCTGGTTCCAACCCCGGGCCCACGCTCGGCCCACGCTCCTCCCACGGCTCCCTACAGTCTCTTGTGAACTGGGAATATCATTTCCTGGCTTCTACTCTCCTTTACCCATCTCTCTTTGAAGATACAAGATTATCCTTGCTTCTGTTTTTTGTCTTTTGTTTTTCAGGATCCCTAGGCCACAACGTTATCCCATCAATTGCCTGGTAAGTCAAAACCTACCAGCCACTACTAAACCCACACATAATTCTGGCATTCTCTATTGTCACTTCTCACTGATGCTTTTTTCCCCTGTATTCAGGTGGTTTAGTGAAACTTGGGAATTGGAAGGATGAGACTATTGATAGCCTCCGTGATGAGACAATACAGTTTACTGCACTGAAGCACGGGGGAGCCAATGGTAAAGAAGTGATCCTTGTTGACATGCAGTATTGACACACCCGCCACACAAACCACATTCAATATCTCTCTAAACCAGCTGCTCGCTTGCTTTTTGGAGCAATGTAATTGCTGCTACCAGGATTTGATGAACAATCCCCTCATTATTTCACCTCCATTAATGGATTAGTTAGTAAGCTAGTACGTTTCTGTTCCATGCAGAAAGCAATCTGCAAATCAGAAGCTTTCCAAGTGGACTGGAAATGGGTAGTTTGACTGTACACATCCCCACTCACCTTGCTAACAGCCCTCGGGGTTCAAGGATGTCATTAAATGTTCCTTTCAAGAAACACACAAACCCCTAAATGTGACCTGCCTCCGCACCCACCTCCGCGCACCTTCCCCATCCTTCAGGCACATGCTAACCTTAGAGAAATGTGGCCAGGAGAGAGTTAGACTATTTAGTGTGATGCAGTAAAGCCTGCTCAACTTTTGCATAGCAATTCAGCAAACACAGTTTTTAAGCATTCAATTCTACTTCTACAGCTTCTTAAAATTCCCTGCAATATAATTATACTGATGGGAATGCAGAAAGATAATTGCTTTTAGAGGAAACTTTCTCCTTTGTTCCATGTTCATCTGGCTTCCAGAAATGGAACAAGAGCCCTTGAACAGCAGAAATACACATCCATGTGTCTCTAGTTATCATTTATTTACAAAGATAGACCTTGACAAATGTAATTTGTTCAATAAAATTAAAAGGATGCACGATAATTCACTTAGACAAAGAGACTTGAAAGGGGACGTCATCGGCAGCAGCGCCGTCCATCATTCCAAATGATCAGCTGACTTTGAAGAAGTGGCAGGTGTTCCCCTTTTGGAATGCAGCACTGAAATAGTATTTAGAAGGGGGAAAAAAGAAAGGGAGCTAGGGATTGGAGCAATGCTTTATTCAGGCAATAATTATACAAATTAGATCTATGAAAGCCAGCGAACGACTGTGCCTTGAACCCTGTCTGTGTGCATAGAACAATGGGGAAATTAATAATTAAATCTATTACATATGCTCATAATTCAATACAAAAGATACCTCCGTAGTTCAAACACTCCTGTATTTTCATTTGAATAAGGCTTTCACACATTCTCATTATATATGTATTATATTTTAAATTTAACAGCTTATTTTGTTGCCTTTATGTTTGAATTAATAAGGGCACACTTTAATGCACTAATGGGGAATTGCATTAGCTGGCTTTGCAGACATAACTTTGAAAAATCTCCGGTTTCCCAAGGGTGAAATCAATTTGCCCCATAATGTGTTGTCTCACAGACACATCTGGAATCTTGGAAGAATAGCTCCCCTCTACAAGCTTCTGATTTGGGCCTCTGCATCTGCAAGAGGATCCCCAGAGAAGAAACCTTTGCTAAACTGAACAAACCCATCGAGGCCATCTTCTGGCTTTTGCAGCCTCTTAGCCAGTTAACATGGTTTCCACGCCTGGCCCATGTTATTTCTCCAGAGAACAAAAATCATTTTCCTATGAAAAAGTAAAGGTTTATTCTGAATCCAAATAACTCATTCTGGGTTTTGTTTTGTTTTGTTTTTGTTTTGCTTTCTTACGTTCTCCCCCTGGCTCATTTCGTATCCCTATGATTAACTGTTCGTACTACCTCTGAACCACGGATAGTGGCAAAGAAAAGGAAGTTAGAGAAGAGAATTACTGAGGTTCCAGAAAAGGGGGAACATGGGTTGAATTGCAGCATTGTAATCCCAGGGAGCAAAATGAGTTCACAAGTAGGAATCCCAATTACCTAGAAAATTACCTCGAGTGACTTCACTGGGGCACCCAAATCTAAGGATTTAACCAACAGGAAATGTCCTCCCCCCACACCCCCCGCATCCTAGAAAAGAGACAAGGAAGTCAGTAGCTGAGAGAGAAGCAGAGGAAGTTTCATGAAACGATCATATTTTGGTGTGAAGCGGCTGCCAGCCTACCCGGGCGCCCGGCACGCGTGGAGGTGCTTGCCGCTGCCGCTGCTGCGGTATGACAAGGATTTTGTGCCTTCGGAGACGCGCCAAATCCAGTGATGCTAATTGCATTGCAGATTTCTAGCATCATTAGCAATTCTTAAAATTACATTTGCCCTGCTTAAGTTCTCTATTTCCAGCTCAGAATATGGAGGGGGCAGGTCTCTGAAGGAGGTATGGGTTACAGAGAAATTCAATTGGACACATTGGCTTCAGGTATGCAGGTGGAGGCTGGCCGGCAGGGATTCACAGACCAGGAAAAATGCTTGTCTGTCTTATTTTAAATGCTGATTGCCGGGAGAATAAACAAAACCTGCAGCTAAATGGGCCTTAAAGGAACGCTGGGAATTTTGGAAAGAAAAAAAAGCTTACCAAATACGGCTGGAACTAGCCCTGTGGGTCCTATGGTGACAAGCACCATCCAAACACCCCGAGCGATGGGGTAACTTGCATTTGAAATAGTTGGTGCAGAAATAACCACTTCTCCCGACTCCTTTTGTTTGTTTGCATTTAAAACAAATGAATAAAATCCAGATGAATTGGTGTTTTGCTTTGTTTGTTTCCTTAAAGAGCACACATTTGCTCATTAGGGAAGCTAGACAGCCAGCTCCAGAAACAAAAGCCCAAGTCCACATCTCTTCTGCCAAGGACACTTTTGCCCAACATCCCCCGCTCAAGCATCTCAACACCTTCAGGAAGGGAAAGGAACGTCCCAATAGGAGAGTAGAGGTCAGAACCTGCCTCTCCCAAGGCTCTGGTCCCTGACTCTGGGACAGGGCTCTGTGCATTTGGGACTTGCAACATGCCCACTGAGAAGCCACCAGTGCCACACCCTCATGCAGTGGTCTCTACTTCGAAACTAGCAACAGAAAGGGGGCTGGCTCCTGGGTATTTCTTTCAACAATTTGTACCATACATATATACACAAGCATACCCACTAAATACATAAATATACACAAGCACACCCACACATACATTTTATATATACATATATATATATACATATATATACATATATATATATATATACACAGTTCTACATATAAACACACATGGAATGTATAGTTTTTAATTAGGTGGTCTTTTAAAAATAATTAAGCCAGTATTAATGAATTACTATTTTAAGTCTGCTGGCAAGCAAGGGAAGCTCTTTCTCTGAGCATTAATAATTTTAGTCATTCGCATTAGCGGATGGCTTGGTATATGAGTCACACTCATAGTCTTGATTAACAAATGAGCTCCGTTCTCTGCTGAAGACTGCAGGGTCAGGAGCGCTGAGGCAAGAGCAGTAAGCCCAGTTCTCTCCTGCTCACTGCCGCAGACTGTCCTCAGAGCTGTGGTAGCGTTCAGGGTCCGAAGCTGGAAGAAGGGTTTGTGTCAGACGGGATCCCCACAGGAATCCAAGTCCATTTGCTCTGCCCATGGAATGACAACTACAGGGCTGGTGAGGTCTTCAGAGCTCCCTGGAATACTTGTGGGCATGCTGTTCCCGCACCGGGAACACGGCAGACCAGTGTCCCAGTTTCCTCATCTACAGAGTAGAAGAAGGTATGTGCTTGTCAACCCCATAACATCAATAAGATAAAGACACAGAGAGTATTACTCAAATGTAAGGTGTTGACAGTGTTAATATGTTGAACTCTTAAAACAAGGGCAGTGCATCTTCAACTAATAAATACAAAGTTGTATGTCAACTGTATCTTCAAAAACAATTGGAAGGAAAAAAAAGAGGACGGTCATTTTCTAACAACACATGGAGCACCTCTGCAGGAGTAAACCAGAAATTTAAACAGGACTTCTCTTTATATGTTTGGCAGCAAGAGATTCTTAAAGGCAAAGGATGCTTGGTTTGATTTTTAGTCCAAGAGGTAGTTTACATGGTGGCATATTGCAAAATCTTTACAAACTCTACCAATTTTCACCAAATGCAAAGAGATGGACTTGCTGCTACTCACAGGTCCATTCCAGAGAGATGGTACAGTAATATTTGGTGTCCCAGAATATTTCTGGAAAGGAAGGGGCCTGTGTGGAATCCCCAAGGTAAAGGGGGGAAGCTGACATACACCCCTCCCCCAACCCAGTACACTACAACATTTATCCCCAGTGGCTTGATTACGTCATGAACTCTTCCTCAAGAATCCTGAAGGAAAAGGCTAATCCAGCCACCCTTTCTTCCTTTCTGTGGAGGACAGAAGACCTTTAGCCCATAAAACAAAGGAAAACACTACTAATTCAGGGAAAGTTTCTCCTAATCCCAAACACAACAGAAAAAGCAGGTACTTTAGCTGTCTGTAAAATCAGTTTGGTGAAAGATTAGGGCAGTGACTATGATTGGATCCCTGCTAACAGCTATTAGATATTAGCGTCTGTTATTTGCCAAGAAGGCACTTCACATGCAATAGTTCATAATCCTCACCATACCGCTACAAGGTAGCAGTAGTATTCACACTCCAGAGAACAGGAAACTGAGGCTCCAGAAGTGAAGCAACTTACCGGCAGTCCCAGAGTTCTCAGACACCACAAGGCCTGCAGACACGGACCCTGGTTCCTGTAACCCCTCTTAGTCCTCCCTCTCCCTTTTCCATCCGCCAGCTCTTCACGCTCTGCCTGGCATCTCTCTGGCCTCACAGCTGAGGCTAATGTAGTTGAAATTTCCATCAACTCCCCAGGTCTGGGCTAGAACATTGTAAACTTCCGGGGCAGAAAGAGAAACTGCCCGTATTTCCAAATCACTTCCAGATCTGACCATCCTGGTAAACAGGGAAAGAATACCTGAAGTGTGCTTTCAGCACTAAGAAATCAGAAAAGGGATCAAACTTGGCTAACCTCCTGAGTAAACAGAACAAAATTGTCTAAATTCCTGATGGTCCAAAATCCGAAGCGGAAGGGAAGACTTGGGTTAGGAGGGACTCCCCCACTCCCCCGTCCGGTCTGAACCAGTGCCTACCAGGTCAAGACCAGAGAGGAGTCCTCCCTCTGAGAAATGAGCCTCAAACTGGTGAGGCGCGGAGGAGCAGGGAACCTAGAACGCAGTGGGGCCGAGAAGACATTTGTCTGGATGGGGCAGTGGGGTTGAGCGAGGTGTAAGTGGTGACACGGACGGAGTCTTTAGAGGACGGCAATAGACTCTGAAGTGGGGAAACTTTATTGCGACCGGAGAGGCAATTGGGAACCCCTGCGGGATCCTAAGAGGGTAGCAGAAAAGTGGAGGCGGACCATGGCTGAGGGTGGACGCGCCTGGTGCCCGCTCCCCAGTCCACCTCCAGGGGGCGCTGGCGGGGCCGGCCCGAAGGAAAAGCCGGTCCAGGACGCACCTGGCTGGAAAGCCACCGCTCGGGGACCTACTCCAGGCGCGAGAACTCCCTGCTGCTCCCCAGTCCCCAGCAGGTTCTCTAGGCCCCCTACGAGGCACCCATCACGCAAGCCGAATTTGTATCACGTCTGCAGTCTTTTAGAAACAGAAAAATAGGGAGGTATTTCTCGAGCCCCCAAAGCCTTGTAACTCAAGGCAAATGAATCGTTAATAACACGGGGGGGCGGGAGCAGCGACTGAAGAGGAATAAACACGATTAGCCCTTTGGTGTTTAAAAGGCTGAATTGGAACAACCTAACAGCAAAAGGGTCACGACTCCCGTCTCCGGGCAGGACAACACGAGGCCTTTTCCCCTGAGGGAAGCTATGTTTCTGATGCGAGGACAGGGCGGTGAGAGGTGGCCCGCGGGAACGCTGACCCTACGCTAAACGCAGAGAACTCCGCGGCGCCGCGGCGCGTGCTCCCGGGCTGTGATTGTGCCTTGGGCCGCGAGGATGTTCCTGCGGCGCCACCTAGCGTCCAAGGCGCAGACAACGCCCTAGACAGGCTGAGATCACTTGAAAACAGTCCTGAGACCTCAAACCCAGGTCCCGGATCTTGGAATGGGACTTTCATTTTGGGGACCAGTAATACCCCTTCAGCTGTGCAGCATGCCCCCCAAACCCCTGTTCCTGCAGCCACCAAACCTAAGTAGAAAATTTACCAGGGTGAGTGGGATAAAATGACTCTCAGTGAGACACCAGGAGGTGATGTCTGCAAGTTGATTATTAATTCATCCAGAAAAAAATATAGATGCTTTCACTGTATAAATATGAGTCCCGGGCAGAACTGAGCCTCATAACATCTGAAGGGGCCGTGTCTGAGAAACACTGTACTAGAACTTTGAGTAGCACAAAGAAGAATCTTTACTTTTTATTTAAAGAGGAATTAAGGCTTCTAGAGAAGAAGATTCCACAGTGTAACGGAGAGAATGGAGATCTGGGAACCAGGATACTCCCTGTCCCCAATTTTCTGTGTGGCCTTGACCAGGGGCAAAGTTTTTACCTCTCACAACAATGCTCTGAGGTCTGGATGACTAGCTCCACATGATAGGTTAGGAAATAGGGACTCTGGAGATAACCCATGGTCAGACAGCAGGTCAAAGTCAAAGCCAAGCTTCAAATCCACATCTGCCCTAAGCACATTCCTTTCACAAGGCATTGACTCCTGTGTTTTTTTGGCTTCTTCATCTACAATATGAAAGGGTCATGCCAAGTGGTCACTTGGTCCCTTCCAGACACAGCAAACTTAGATCTGAGGTCTCCCTGGTCCCTTAAAACCCACTTTTAATGCTCGCAAACCCCGTGATGATAACAAAGGGGCCTTTAAAAAGGATTTATCCACCTATAAAAACCATTGGGTTTTACTTTCAGTTGTGGGCCAAAGAACACCAAAACAGACATGTTGAAACATCAAACCACCCCTGAAATTCAGGATGGTGGGGAAAGAGGAGAAAATCCGCACAGGGCATGGAATGACAACTTATGGGTCAGTGGCGGAAACAAAATGGGCAGGGCACTGCTTATCTCTTGAGCCACGGGCCTCCCGGGGGACAATTGCCTTCTGATAATTGTTGGGACTTGATAAATACATGAAATCCAGCAGCCAACAGTTTATCGAGCTACCAGTTCACGTCTGGACAGAACTAGATTAAGGAGTCAGGCACATTTGCAATAACCTCAAAGATAAACCCCTGCTATCTAAGGCAGTTTATCTCCTCCTCAAGGGTAACACTGCCCCCTAACTGCCACCCCCAAAAGAAGGGAAGGACACATGCACACACACAAGGGCTCTGAATTGACCTTGAACCCTCTCTTCCTGCTAGCCCTCACAGGTCGCCAGCTTGAAAGCAAGGGGTTGGGACCCTGCCCATGTCTGGGAAGCTTGGGAAAATAGGTTGGCAAGATGGGAACTGAGCAATTAGACCCCAAAGACAAGGTCTCGTGACTCTGAAGTCAATGTTTTCCTCGTGAGTTCTTCCTCTACCTGAGAGCAGCAAAGAACTTCAAAAGCCCCCAGCAAAGATAAGACCAGGGACTAGAGAGCAAACTTAGACCCTGCTGGGCCACAAACTCCCTGTGTGACCAAAGGTAAGTTAAAACTTCTCTGGACCTCAGTTTCCTCAAATCTAAACTCAGGGCTTAATGCTAATTAATCCCTAAAACCCAACTGAGCCATGTCATGGACCCAAACCAAACCAGCTCTTACCTTTCAGGGCCGCATCTCCTCACTTACATTCTTCCTCAGTTCCCTCCCCAGCCTAAACCCCTCTGGCTCCCCAGGCACACCTCTCCCTGGCTCTCCCAGGTGGCTGAAGGGAACCAGAAGAGCATTGCCTCATATGTGGCCCCGCTGGGAGGACCCCTGAGCACTGTCTCTGGTTTGGGGACACACCTTTTATTTTCCATCTGTTATCAAGGAGTCATTTTCCTCTTCCCCTCAGCAGACTCTTCGGCTTTTACAACATTCTGTTGAGGGATGGCAGGAGTCTTCCTCAAACAAGATGACTTGGAGCCAGTGCTGAGCCAACCTCCCCCCTCTAGTTGCACCCCTGCCCCTCACGCTCCTGGAGCGTGGGTTCCCACTGGGAAGGCAGCCACCAAAAGTCTGCTTCAGCTGCCCTGATGCCCTGGTCTCCTTTAAAAAAAACAAACAAACATGAAACAACTTCAGGAGCTCTTGGGAACCCACAATTGAGCTGTATTCCAGGGAAAAAGACGTTTGAAAGAAAGGAATAAAGTACTGTTTTTCCAAGGGCCTTCACTCCCTCAGAAACTCAAGGTAAACTAGGCATCTCACACCTTATTTTTCCTCTGGTTGTAGAAGGAGGCAAGGAACGAGCACCACCTGGTTTTGAAGAGAGATGTCCCAGAGGGTTCGGGCGGTTCCATGGTGGGGACAGAAAGATCTGCTTCCCTGGGCGCCTCCACGGTGCTGGGCTCACAAGGAGCTTTTATAGGTGCTGGTTAATTGGGTGGATGCAAAGTTCTGATGGATTTGTTCATACCGTAGATTTTAAAACTAGATACGGGTACAGATTAACCCTTCCTCTGCACCCTTCCGACCAGCCCCAGAGCTCTCCACCTCCCTCTGTGCCCAGCCTCAGACCAAGCGAAGGGAGGAAGCTGAGATATACGCTCTAAGGTGGCCCCTCCCCTGACCCCCGGGCCAGCCCGTGGGCCCCGGTGGTGCTCCGGCTCTGTGCCTTCCCTCTGAGCAGTGATTCGAGGCAGACGTTAGGGTGGAAACAGCATCTTTCACTTCTTCCTACCACTTCTCTTATCTTCACAGGGTACTTGTTAAGCGGTGTCTTCAAACTTAGGTGATGTCATGAGAGGAAGCAGTGTCGTCAACGTGCCATTTTCCATGAGCACTGACTTCAGTATAGATAAGAGCCAAATAAAAGCCACATTGTCCCCATGCAGAATCTTCTCTAGGCATGACTGGAAGCCTGGATACTCACGGAGAGAGGTTATGAGCCCTTAAAGATAATCGGAAATGACAAATTTGCTTACTAGGCAAACAACTCTCCTTTCCTCTCCTCCTCTGGGGGAACTAATCCGGGGCCAACAGCAACGCATTCTTAGAAACCAGCTCAAACGTGGGGACGCAAAACCATGGGGGGCTGCCCACGGCCGAAGAGCCAAGTCATTACCTTTCACTTCCCATTTTTGTTCGCTCCTTTTTGATGTTTTAAAAGACACACAGATGTATGCCTTTTATCCCTGTTTCATATTAAAAAGGATTGGGGAGGAAGAAGTGGAGAAGAGGACAAAACTAGCCTTGGAATGTGTCAGGCGCCAAGCACTGTGTCGGGCATCTGGCGCTCCGCCCACACCCGCCCGTCCTGGCCAGTGGAGGAAGGGGATGGGCATCCACTCTTCTTTCCCATCTGAATAAATGCTCACATTTGAAAACGTCTTGAACCGCAACCACATATCCTTTGGTGGGGAGCCCCCCCCCCCCAAAGAATCTCCACATCTTCTCTGGGAGCATCTCTTTCTTCTGGTCAGATACACCCTGCTTCATCCTCCATCACTTTGGTCACGCACTTCCCTTTGCCTCTGGTGCCTTCCCAGCCTCCACACCCTCATTCCAAACCCCCTTCCACTTTTCAAGACTCATTAGATGTCATCCTCAAGAAAGCTTCCCCGCTCCTCTCCTGTCCCGCTGCATCAAGGTGGGCGCCCGTGTGCACAGGTGTCTCGTGTCTCATCTGTCACCACTGTGTTGTAGCACTTTGCTTGTTTGTCTGCTTCCACAAGTTACTGTGAGCTCTTTGCATCCCCTGCATCTACGGGATGAATTCTAGGCCACCACTTGCCCAAACAACCCCTCTGTATTCTAAGAAAGAT